ACCCCTTTACCCCTAAATAAATCAGTGTGTTTCCCAAGGATGGGGGTGTTCTGTTACACAACTACAGTGTAATGACCCAAATCAGGCAACTTCATAGGACATAAATTAATATAAGATCATCTAAACCACAATCCCTATTCCAATTTTAACCAGTTGTCCCAATTATGTCCTTTATAGCTACTTTCTTTTCTGGGCCAGGATCCGAGATCACTTGGCACATTTGGTTGTTCTCTTTAGTGTCCTTTAATCTGCTGTAGTTTTTCAAGTCTGTCTATTTCTTTCCTGACCTTGACAGTTATTTTGTACAATTTCTTCAATTTGGGTCGACTTCATGTTTCCTTATGACTAGAGATAGGTAATGAATGCCTCGTGGGCTGGAATTCCAGAGAATCACCGAGTCCTTTCCAGTGCATTGTAACAGGGGGTACGATGTCATTCTGCCCCAGTATCGGTAATGTTAACTTTGATCACATGGTTAAGTGGTATCTACCATATTTCTCCACTGTAAAGTTATTTTTCCAAAGGCCTCAGTTTAAATGGCATGAGCATATGCGATAATACAGGTGAACAAAATCTACTAAAGACTACCTGGTTTCTGCAGATACACCCTTTGCCCCTCCCTACTTAGACCCTTTCCAGAGTCTTAATAATTAGGGGAAAGTTTGAGCTGGAAGAGATCTTAGGTTTCATCTGGTTTCCACTTTTCCAAGTGTGGGATGCTTACTGCTGGAGGATGCGATGATTTTTATGGGCTGCCCATTAGTAGGTTCACTTGTATCACTTAGGAAAAAAGGCTTTTCCATTTCAATGACACCTCCAATCTTCTGAGTACATGAAGTAAAAAGGTTCAGTTGGGGGCTAGCCTGTCTTGAAAATTTCTAATGGTGGCCGGTTTATTTTTTTTAATGAAAGGGAAGACCCTTGTTTTGCAGTCTTTGGCAGGCAGTGGCATTGAGTAATCCAATAGCATTTTCAAAAATCTCATTTATTTTTATAGATACTTGCTGCTCTCTGTTGAAAATGATAGGAAAATTTAACTTACAGTGTTAATAAAAATATTCCTTTAGATTACATTTTAAAACATGACATAAAACAAGTGAGTCAATTTAGAGAAATTATAAGAATTTGAAGAAAACTCTTAGGTATGGAGGCATGGAAGTGATCAAGAGATGTGGCCCACAGTTGTGAGGATAACACGGGAATTGCTGAGGTTTGAGAAAGTCCGATTTAGGGACTTAGGCCAAATTTCTTACAGGGAATTGACAGTCTGGCTAGCTATCTTTTCCTGTTGATGGTCTTCCTAATGGAAATTCACCTTGGCAAGAATGAACAAGTAATGAAGCAAAGATGTCAGGTTAAACGAGATGGTTTTATTCAGGGTTTGTTAGGAGCGCAGCCCTGGGAAAACAGGTGCAAGTGCACTTGAACCATGTTCCACCAGATTATAAAATGGAGGAGGCTTATTCTGGAACAATCATTTTATTTTAGGACAAAATTACGTTTTTTCTCCTTCAACAAAAATGTACCTCCATTTTTCATACCTTCTTTTCTTAACAACACACATTCTATTTTCTTTAACCCTTAAAAACCTTAATTCATTTTTCTCATCAGTCCTCGGAACATCCTCCATTCTTTGTTCTGTCTCTTAGCATCCGAATCAGGCTTTGCCACAAGTGCAAAATAACACATTAAGGCCTCCACCTTATTATGCCGCCCCCCGGGGTCTGCCTGCCCCAAAGCTAGCAGATGAGTGGACATGTCCTTCTCATCTCAGTTCATCTTCCAATTTTCTAGCTATTTATAATTTTGCTTTTCAGCCAAAGCTAGGAAGCAGGCAATTGTGAACTGCTTGTCATGTATTAGCATCCTGGAGGAGATTAGCAACCTGATAAACACATTTCAAAAAATTTTTAGAAGTGGATTTTCCTCATAATGGATATTTCCTAATGTGGCATAAACATGTTTATTAACAGACCCAAATATCCCTTGTCTCTCTGTGAAAATTAAAACTCCCAAAGTAGGTGAACCTATGTTCAATACTTAATGTTTCATTATGTTATCTTATTTGGCAATGGCTTAGATATTTGATGAATTTAACTTATCATTTAACCTAATTTAGCAAAACTTTAAAGTTTGGGGTTATCAAAAAGATTTGGGGAAATTATGTCAAAACTTTACCATAAACCTTTTTATCTTGCTTATATTTATTTGAATTACTTGTTCACATAATTATTTTTAGATTACCCATAGAAACCTTGAGAGACATCAGTCAGTCATTTTTCCAAGCTACTTTTTTTATTTTTGGAAAATATTTTATAACAGAAATAACTTCAACCCATTTGACTTTAAATAAACTCAAGGAGAATAAAAGTTTTAATTTTAATGCTGATAATGTTTGAGATATGCCTATTTTAATTAAATGAACAACTTTAAATTAGCTTTAATACTTAATATTTTCCCAGATCATGTGAATCTGAAGTTTATTTGGATTGTTTTCATTTTTTTTTGAGAATTTTTATGAATACTAAATTTAAATAAGCACTAAATTTTCTTTAAGCCAATTAAATAGAGCTCTCTTACAAATTAATTTTAGTAATATTATCCAGAGATAGAAATATATATAACACTTATAACATGGACACATACAAACACATAGACTTTATAGCTTTTTTTTTTACAGCTTGTGTTTTTATTAATATTTGTGGAAAGGACATTATAGGCCTTATTTTCAAATATTCCTTCTTTCTCTCTTCCCTTTTTGTTTCCTTTTGATGAGAAACTTTTCCTTAAAGTTTGCATTTTAAAGAATGGCTCAAGTCATAGAGAAAATGGGGGTAGAATATTTATATAACAAAGCTGCAAAGAATGTACCCAATTTTTCAGCAAGGAGGAGTTTGGGGGCATATTTATCTATTATCAGAGGTATTAGAGTCTGGACATAAGAGCCCTCTCAGGAGTTTGTGTTTTCAAAAAAGCCTTTTCCTTCCCCTATACTCCCCCCCCAAGTTTCTGGCCACAGTGGGCTATATTTATATTTCAAAGACATGATAAGACTTACAGCTTCAAGAGAAATATGGCAAGTTTTATTTTGTTTTTTAAGAGTTTTGTAGTAATTGCTGTTTAAAATTTTCTTCCTTAAGTATAGGACAATTCCATTTCAATATCCTGATCTTTTATAATATCTATAAGCATTTTGAGAAGAATAGGGACAGATGGACATTGATAAAAATAGCTATATTTCTGGTTTTGTAGTTTTAAGAGACAAAAATAAGGATTTAGAGTTGGTGTGCAGGAGAGGGAAGGGGAAAACCAAATCTGCCATAGCGAGCTCAGAAGGCTCAGTGAGTTTTTCAAAGCGAGTCTCAGGAAGTTTCTGATTAAACAGCCTGGAGGGAAACAATTTTGTCAGCATTGCATTCAGAGGCCTCTAGGTACCAGTTAAAATAAGCTTGCCTTTCATTTTGTTTGGTCTCATATCCTCTTTCTGATTGTGCATGCAAATAAACCAATTTGGAGATCTCAAATATTCCTCGTTTTGGCTAATGTAGTCTTATATCATCCGGGATGACATGGATTCATTGTTAAACATTTACAGAGGGGTGGTCCATAGGGATGAAACAAACATAAAACCAGCTGGGGTCCTTGACGGAGGTATATCTCCATTATTTTTCTCAGAACAAGATGAGCCGATTGTCTGTCTTTAAACTTGAACCTTTTTTTAAATGACAGAGATAGAAAAACCTTCAACTTGTACCTCCTATCTGTGGGTAGAGGGGGTAGAGGCAGAATCCTTCCAAAATGGAAGAGGACGGAGATGACTATACCCAGAAAACCCTAAATAAATGACTTGGTCTGGTCTGAACCTCAACCGAAGTCAGGGAGGTTCAGACCCAGAAGGACCTACTGCCTGAGCTCTGGAGGCCTCAGGTGGAGACATCCGAGGGCCCTGCTGTCTTGGGCATACTTTGCATCTGTCCTTGTGGTGCCAGGGTCCCGGGTACTTGCTCTGGATACTGCTGAGTATGCTGAGAAATGTTGCCCAAGAAATGAATCAAAGATACTGGGCAGGTTAAACAAAGTTTTATTCAGACTTTGTTAGGGGTGCAGCTTGGGAGATACAGATTCAAGATGCAATTGAATTGTGTTCCATTAAATGACGAAATGGAGGAGGCTTATAAAGGTAAAAACCACAGGTTAAGGAGAATCACATCATTGTTCATCAAAAATTATGATTGGCGCTTGCCCTGAGGTAAAGGTGCTTATTAGGTGGGGACTGCAGCTGGTATTTGGAAAAATTCCAAGGTTGCAGTCAGCAGAATGCAGTCCATTTTGTCCTTGAGATGTTGTGGTTTAGCAGTTTAAAGTTCAAGTTTGCACTGGAGTGAGGACGTATTTGGCCCTGTCTCAGCAATGTCCCTTGAATCCATTTTGATTGTCTGACAAGTGTGACTTCATCTTGAGTTCTAAAAAAAGTCAAATATACATTCAAACTGGCGAAGAACCAGTGCTGGCAAGAAATCCAACAGACCAAAGGGCCTGGAAAGCCTTAAACACAGGTGCCAGGTGGATAGACTTCCAACACCCCTGCCTTCCCATCCCACCTCCGCACTCACTAGACTGCCACCTTGTAGTTCCCATTTTTAGGGGTCTCATCCCTGAGATGAGGGAGGTGATAAACGGTGCATAACTCATACCTTTGTTGGACTCTGAGTGCAGATGCATAAACCGCTTCTGGCAGTGTTAGCAAAGGCAGGCTTACACTGAGGGCATTTTTCCTTTGTGGGTACAGGAGTAGGGCATGAAAAGGGCCCGTGAATGGTCACGCCGGGCGGGATTTCTCTTCCATCCCTCCTTATTGGAAACCCAATGGGCTAAAGTGCGCGCCACCCAGCGGGTGGCCGAGGGCCGGCGGGCAGGGCCGGGACGCGCCGCGCAGGAGCCCGCGGAGCGGCTGCGCACGCGCGCCGGAGCCCCGCTGCTGTTAGGCCGTCTCCATGGCGACGAAGCCGGTGGACTGGGGGTTCCCGGAGCGAGAACATGAAGCTCAAGAGCCTGCTGCTCCGGTATTACCCGCCAGGTACCGGCCGGGCCCCTCGCCCTCCCCTGGGGCCCGGGGCTCAGGCCCTGGGAGGGGCGGGGGCGGGGTTGGGGGCGGCGCGGTCCCCGGGGCGCTGATCCCGGTGCGACAGGGAGGGGCGCTTCCCAGCACGGCCCTTCGCTCCTTCAGATGCTGGCCCCTGTTCCTCGAGACTTTTAAGAGGCTCTTCCATAAAGTCTCTAAACTTTTAAACTGCGGAGTTAGAATGCTTTCCGGTTAGTTAAGAATGGGACGCACGGGGAGGGAGGGGTGGCGATTGGTGCTGTCCTGGGATATTGGTTTCTGGAAAGGCAGACACAAGGACCAACCACATTACTTTTTATTTTAACCTTAACAGAGTGAACAAGTCAAGGTGTGTGGAATATGAAAAGAAAAATGCATACTCAACAAAGCCTATTATATTAGTGACTATATTCCAGACATATCACTTGATCGACGCCCTTTTCAGGGCTTATGCGCAGGCGCTCTGTGCCCCAGGCCACCGGGCTTTAAAGAAGGGCACAGTCCTTCATTTCAGGGAGTTACGGAATTATGAAACAAGTCCACAGAATGCCGTAGTTTTAAAGTAGGATAAACTTGTCTGGCTCCCTTGTTTCAAAGGTGAGGACACAGTCGCCTTTAGAGAGGAAGTGATGTCCACTTGTACGGGACAGAAATAGGAGCAGAACACTTGGATTCTAATTCAGAACTCACTTTAAAAACAAGAAGAATATAAAATTAGAGTCTACAAAACTTGTCACAAAGCAGTAGATGACCAAATATACTAGCCCACTGAAAAATTTGGGCCTCCTGGCAACACTGGGCCTGGACAGTAACTTTCCCCCATGGGAAGTTGACATTTGTAGTAAAAATACTCATTTTCTCCCTCTTAGAAATCCAATTAAAATAACAGAGTGAAATAGGTGAGAGGGGAAAAAAATTCGTGAGGTTTGATATCTTGATCTGGGTGATGGTTGCCTGAATGTATGCCCATGTCAAAATTCATCAAGCTGTACACAAACGACATGAAACATGGAAACACTCTAGATATGAGAGGTCATCGTGAGTTAACATGAATAGCTAGTTCTCTTTAAGGTGTCCACAACTTCCCTTGGCTGTGCCTGCATGTGGACTGGCACTGGTTCCCAGGAATAGAGTGATACACGGATGTCTTGCTTTCATCCTTCCCTGTGGAGTGTAGATGAAAACCATGAACTCTGGGATCATAATAAATAATCTCACCAAAGAAAAATTTTGAAACTTGGGCCATTTGTTCTGATCTGCCAAGCTGTCAGTCAGAGCGTGACAGCAGCACCCATGGGGCTATGACCCCTCCCGGCTACTTCTCACTAACCTCGTTCCCGGCAGAGTACATACACCTCCTTGGGGGAATGTTGTCCCGATTTTTCTTTCCTTCAGTATTGAACTCACTCCTATTGTGTTTTCACCCCCACTTCTCCACTGGAACTGCCCTTTTCAGGATCCCCAGTGATTCAACATTGCTAAACCCACTGACCAAGTCCTAGTCCTTGCCTTTCTTGACGTGACAACAGCATTTGGCCCAAATGGTTATTCTGTCCTCTTCTGGCCTATGACCAACACCCTGTTTTTACTCCTGCCCCATTGTCCCTCCTCCTTGTTTGTGTCTCCGCCTCTTTATCTTCATGTTGGAGTGTCCCAGAGCTCCGTCCTTGGTCTTCTCTATCTATATGCATTTGCTGGGCCATTTCATCTTTTCTCAAGGCTTAAAGCCATGCTGAGTAGCCCCGAGTACTGAACTGCCAGCCTGGTTCTTCCTTCAGATGTGCGTTGGGCCTCACACAGGGCCTCTGTGGCCTCCCTTATCTCGGTCAGAGGCAGCTCCGTGCCTCCATTTGCTCGTGTCAGAACCTTGCACTCACCCTTTTCTCCTCTCCTGTACACTCTTGCACATTCGTTCATCCTCTTCTCCTCTCTTGCACACTCCACATGTGGTCCAGTAACAAACCTGCCAGCTCACCTTCCAGATATATGTGGAATCCAGCCACTTCTCCCCACGATGATGGCTCCTCTGTCTTTCGCTAGAGCTTCCACTGTGCCCCACCTCAGCCTGTTTCCAACACAGCAGCGGGGTGACTCTGTTAAAATATGTCTGATCTTAGTACTTTTCTGCTCAAGCTCTCCAGGGGCTTTTTAGTTCACTTCAAGAAGAAGGGCCATGATCCCCCAGGTCCCACAGGACCTTCACCCCCTTTTGCCTCTGAGTTCACCCTGCTTTCCCCTCTAGCAACACCACTCTCCTTGATGTTCCCCGAATGCGCTGGGCCCCAGCTCAGTCTCTGCAGTTCTTTTTGCCTAGAATATCTTCTCCTGCGCGTCTGCCTAGCTGATGCTCTCACATTCTTTAGCTCTTTCCTCATAAGTAAGTGAAGTGAATAAAGTGAAACTTTGCCTTCTAGAATTTCTAGAATACATCATTATTTATTGAATCATCCAAACTTTCCCCATTAATTTGAAATGTTACCTTCACTTAATTTTAAATTCCCAAATATACGTGATTCTATAATATTGATCTAATTTTGTATCAGAACCACACTTTATTGTTTTATAGTTTGTTATAATATTTGGTACGTTTTCAAATTCTAAGAAATAAAATCATCATAATCACTTTAACTCCACAAGTTACTTGACATTTTCACAATATTGAGTTTTCTCATGTAGTAATATGTCTTTCCATTTATAATGATTTTCTTTGATATCTAATATTGCAGCTAGATATTGCACATTCCTTGTTAATTTTATATTTAGGTATTCAATGCAATTATAAATGTGATCTTTTCTTTAATTTCATCTTTCCTTGTCAATATATGCATGTCTTATCTACTTCCAATCTTACCTTCTGCATTCTATTTATCTTTCTAAGTCCCCCTAAATCCTTTCTGGAATGCCTATCATATCAACAGGTTTTATAAAATGTATAAATCACAGGCATGAAAAGGATCGCAGAGGGAATATGGTCATCATGTTATCATAACTTTGTATGGTGACGGATGGTAACTACAGGTATCATGGTGAGCATTTCATAATTTACATAATTGTCATATAACTATATTGTATACCTGAAACTAGTATAATATTGTATGTTAGCTATACTTCAATAAAATAACTTTAACAGTGTTATAATATCCATGGTTTGCTGAGACGTATGATATGGCACAAGAAGCCTTTTTTCACTCTGTGGAAAGTACAACCATATTTGCCATGGTCAGATCTCCATGAGCCTTTCTTTATTCTTTGTGAATTTGCTTCTTAAACCAGAGTTTGGTTTCATTTCTTTTATATGAAAGAATTACTTCTTAGGGAAGAAAACAAAACACAACTGTGCCCAATAGTCTCTTACAGTTACAGTTAGAATCTGACTTGCTTGCCTGCTGTGTGGTGGTGTTTTAAGCAGTTTTTTTTGTGTCATAAAAAGAATGTGGAATGATTTTTCTGTTCTAAAATTAAATTATAGCTGATACAGTAATCCTTCAAGTGTCAGGGGACCTCTGGGGCTGGGGGTCCTCAAGGTCAAGTCTCTTTTCATAATGACCATAAGATATCATTTGCTTTTCTCCCTGGGTATTGACATTGGCACTAATGGTGCAAACGCAGTAGGCGTTGAAATTGCTGGCACCTTACTACAAATTAAAGTAGTGACGCCAACTCCAATAGTGTTCACTGTATTCCTTAGAAACACACACTTGCAATAGGAAAAATCCCCTCAGTTCAGTTTCCCTTGAGAAGTCCGTGATGAAGCAGAACCTATTCATCAGGTAAGTACTGACACAGAAGTACATGTATTCTTGCTGAGGAAAAGGAAATACTCGAGCTGCTGCCGTGATGTGTGAGCATTGTCTTGAGGGAAACACATGTGCAGTTGTTTGAGTTGAGAGATGAACCAGCCATATTTTTCATGGAACACCATTTTTTCTTGCAAGACTAACTGAAAAATAAACATGGTTTTTAGATTTGGACATTTGGCAGGATGTTTTCTTGAAACTGAACAAAGCAGAAAATTTTCAAGCAAAACTGTCAGTGTTTCTTGCCAGTGATGAAATTTGAACTTTCAAGAAAAAAGTAGAATTTCAGGAGACTTGTATCAAACTACGATGAACTCAATAGCTTACCAAAAGAGTTTTGTGCTGATAGATATGGGAAGTGCTATTGACAATTGTGATTTTGTGGGGGGGGCATTGCGTAATGAGATATGCCAACATTTAGAAGATGTACATAACTCAGTAAACTAATATTGTCAGATGTCTGATATATGATGTCATAAATCACACGTGGATAAAATATCCTTTGAAAGTGTGAGATAGACAAATGGATTTTAATGTAACAGAGTATGAAGGGTTTATTGATGTGGTTTCAGATTCTGTATTACAACCAATCTTTATGAACCTACCTACCACTTGTTAAGTTTTAATGTAGTCTTATAAGAAAAGATTATCCATGATTATCTGAAAAGGCAATTAAAATATTAAAATATAGATGTGCATATGGCCAGATTTTTTTCTTATACTTCATCCACAGCAAAATACAGCACCAACTTGAATGCAGAAGTGGAGGAGGATCCAGATCTTTCTAAGCCAGATATTAGAGAGATCTGCAAAAGTATAAAATAGTCCTGCGCTTCTTACTATTTTTTGGCAAATATAATCATTTCTCTAAAATATGTTATTTATGTTAACATGCCATGAACTTATTACCTCTATTTAAAAACAATTTAATATTTAAAAAGTTTCTCAATTTTCATAGGGAAAATATTACAGAAACACAAACTCTTTGGTGTCCTCAATAATTTAGAGTGTAAAGTGGTTCTAAGACCAAAACTTTGGAGATCCACTGGTCCGTATCCATAGAGGTAGTACAATAAAGTGGCTGGGAGGCTTTGTTCAGTTTTTGTTTATATCTATTATTTCTTTGTGTTTCAAATTGAATATATTTCATTGATCTGTCTTCTGAGTCTGTCCTTTGTCCATCTCCATTCCATTACTGAGCCTACTCAACATTTTGGTTATTGGACTTTTTAGTTCAACAGTTCCCATTTGGTTTGCTTTAATAACTTCCATTTCTTTAGTAACTTCCATTTTTCTAAAATTTTTCATTATTTTCATTTGCTTCAAGTGAACTTGTAAATCGCTGCTGAAGCATTTTTATGACACCTTTTCTAAAATCCTTTCAGATAATCCCAGCAACCGATTCATCTCTATGTTGGTGTTTGCTGATTATCTTTCTCTGGTTCTTGGTAACTTCTTATTGTATCCTGGATATTGGAGTTTATTGATCGTCTTTCCTGCTTATTGTACTCTGGATATTTTGGTTATTATGTCAGGAGACTCTTGATCCTGTCTAAATCTACTTTGGCAGGCTGTCACCATATTTAGATTTAATGTATATAGGTTCTGGTCTACTTTTGTGATTGTTAGGTCCAAAGCAGTGTAGTTTTCTTTTTTATTTATTTAATTTTTTTATTAAGGTATGATTGATATACACTCTTATGAAGGTTTCACATGAAGAAACAATGTGGTTACTACATTTACCCCTATTATCAAGTCCCCCCCATACCCCAATGCAGTCACTGTCCATCAGTGCAGCAAGATGCCACAGATCCACTATGTGTCTTCTCTGTGCTACACTGTTCTCCCCGTGATCCCCCACACCATGTGTACTAAACATAATACCCCTCAGTCCCCTTCTCCCTCCCTCCCCACCCGCCCTCCCACACCCCTCCTCTTTGGTAACCACTAGTTCATTCTCGGAGTCAGCAGTGTAGTGTTCTTTGCCCTTTCAATGTTAGCCAGGTCTGCTTTGTTTTCCCAGTGCTGTTGAGGCTCCTGCTTAGTCCCTGCTCATACCACCTGCAGGGGCAGAAGGTACCCCAATATGCCTGCTCTCACTGGGTGACCTTTTGGTGGTGGGGGACAAGGGTCTGGGCCTGGTTATGTCACTGGTTAAAAGACAGGGATACACTGCTTTGGTGCCTGGCTGTGGGCTGGGATCTGGGACGTCCCAAGACTTCATTGCACCTCTTTTGCAGGGAAATGAGACTGGCCAGCTATGGCCTCATTGTGGAGTGGGGTCTGGGAGATCTTGGGACTTCCCCGTACACAGTTTAAATGGCCCCTTGGGACCCCAGTTTCTTTGGCGCTTTGTTGCTGGGCCTGCTGCAGGCAGATCAGACAAGCTGCTGAGATCCAGCTTTGCCGTGGGGACTGGGCCAGCCCAGGGCCTCCACTAGCGCACCCCCTGCAGGGGCCCCAGTTGTGGAGCAGACTTGCTCCAGGGAGAAGGGATTTCTGGTCCAGGGTGAATCCCCCATGAAACTTGTGAAACCGAAATAAGTTAAGAGGAAGTCAGGAAATAAGTCAAGGTCAGGAGAAAGGCTTTTATTTCTTATTGCTGCTTGAGTTCGCTAGCCAGGTCCAGGTCGACCGTCTCCTCCAGCCACTGCTCACGCTCTACCACGATGGGGCGCTCTCTACTTCTTTCCCGCTCCTTCCGGGAGGAACTCCATTGGCTGGTCCTTGGTGACTGGCAGACACCAGACTAATTACATACCAGGAATGGAGGGGAGGAGAGAACAGCCAGCTCCCGCCCCACCCTTTGCCCCAGATCTACAGGAGGCTCTGCAGTGGTAAACACCTGTTGGTATGTAAGTGAATTAAGGCTAGGCTGAGGTTCTCTGGAAATTCTGCAACTTACTTCACAGGCCCCCATTAGTTCTTTGTTTGACTTCTCTTTTACTGGTCCTTTGGCCACAGAGAGGAAGCTTCGTTGTTGTTACTGGTTGATTTTTGTTGTCTATGCTTTTTGGTGGTTCCAGGCAGCAGGTGCTCTGGGCCCCAGGTGGGGGTGTGTGGGACATAAAACCCAGGGGATGTGCCACGCTGTCTTTCTTCAAGTTCTGAGGCTTCTAGCCGGTGTACCATTTTCTCTTCAACCTTCAATTATTTTAGCATTGCCTGTTGAATAATTTCAAAGATACTTTTAGTTAGAGGAAGAATCAGGAAAAGTGAGTTTATATAATCTGTTTTAAAACCACACAACACTGCATGTTTTATGTTGAAAAATTAACTAATAAAAATAAAAAAATTATGTCAAAGTAGAATAACTGCTGACATAGGTTGTCATCATAAGTGGTTTATAATGTGTTTGTTTTTATAGGAATTATGTTGGAATATGAAAAGAGTGGAGAATTAAAGACCAAATCCATAGATTTGCTTGATCTTGGTCCCAGGTAAGCCAGCATGCAACATGTATTTCATATCCAAATTTTTTACTGGAGAACCCTGACGTAGGCTGATATATACATGAGCCACATAAACTCAGACGACAAATTGCTTCAAATACTGTACTGTGGGGTGTTATTTCCTGATTGGTTCAGTGAGTTCTACTCGAGTGTCTGCTGGATGAGGAGCAAGAGGAAAAAAGCTCAGCAGTCTGCCCTTTCCAAATAGACACCTTTTTACGAATAAATCTTTCTGTTCAGAACGGTTTTAGAAAAGTTGTGAAAACAGAGCTCTCACATACTCCATACCCAGTATCCCCTATTGTTAAATTTAGATTATTATGGTACATTTGTCGTATCTAATGAGCCAAAATCGATACATTATTATTAACTAAAGACTGTATTTTATTCAGTTTTCCTTGTTTTTTTTGCCTAATTCTCTTTTTTTTTCTCCAAGGCCCCTCCCCCAGGACACCACGTCACACTTAGTTGGCAGGTCTCCTTAGACTCCTCATGGGGTGACAGTTTCTCAGACTTTCCTTATTTCCCATGACCTTAATACTTTTGAGGAGTACTTGTTTTTGCATTTTAAGAGTATTACAGAGCCTGTTAATTTCTTAGTAGATAATATCTCGTGGGGCCTGTGGTGCATGATCCTCCTCATTAACTGTCATGGGGTGGAGCTGGGTGACCCGATCTTTGTCTCTCAAGCTTGTTACGCGCCAGAGGAAAGACTCTCATGAGATCACATTGCCACGGGAATTCTTCCCTTTAGGCAATCTTATGCAAAAGTCCGCTTCAACAGGCTGAGTCAGATCAGCAACTATACCTGCAGGAGCCCATATTCAGATAAGGTGGAGACATTCTGAATGGGAAAAAACTAAAAGTAGAACAAAAATACCATGGTACGGTTGTGGCCCAGAGAAATAAGCAATCTTTCATTGTGATTATCTTCTTGCTTCTATTTTGGATGTTTTGAGGTTTATAGACATGAATATTTCTCTTGAAGTAAGATTCTTTTGGACTAGCCCCAAATTATCAGAATTGCTGTAGGTAATTTGAATCCTGGAGGAAACTTGGAATCTGTATGTTTCAGACCAGGTCCCTTTCAGGGAAATCATAGTATAGCTCAAAAGAAATATTACCATCATTATCCTCATTCTTTGAATATTTTTTTGGTTAGATACTTTCTTTTTCTCTAAAAGTATTTAAAACCTAACCTTTCTGAACCTCAGTTTCCTCATCACTCAAATAGTTGTGATGAAAGCATTGCAAGGGTTGGTATAGCATTAAGTGAGAGAACATATGTAAGGTGGAAAGAATAGTCATACCAGGAACATTCAATACATGTTCATTTAAAATTAAAAATAGGGAAAAAACAAAGAGAAAGAGCTTATTTTCAGAACCTCCGTACTTGGCCTTTTTAGGTAAACAAATCAGAATCTTCACACACCTTCCACAGGGGAAGTCTTAGTTAATGAAAATGCCTTTTGGGGAACCCGAGCTGCTTTCATCCATGCCGCAGTACTCTTTATTGATTTGTGTGATTTTTATTTCCCAGAAATCTCTTGGGAAAGATAACGGTGTTCTCGCCATTGTATGTATAAATGTTGTGCTTCATAACACAATATAATTCTTGATGTAGTAAAAGTACATGCAATTGTTGGCACAGCAAAAAGTAGCTTTTTGTGTGGATTTCAGTACTGATGTCAATGCCTTAGTAGAAGAGATACAGAAAGCAGAACCTCTGATCACAGCTTCACGATCGGACCAAGTGAAACTTTTAATACACAGATTACAAGATAAACTCGGACAGCACAGCAACCACAAATTCTATCTTTTTAAGGTAATGCGTGTTTTTAAAAGATGAGGTAGGAGGACTTCAGTGAATTGGTTGATAACCTATTAATTTGAGGTAAAATACAAGTCATATTTTCTCTTTCCCTTAGTGTCTCAAATATGTTTGTTAAGACTAAGTCTCAATAAATGTTTATTGAATGAATGAATGAGATTCAAACATTTATTTCATGAGGTTAAATAAAAATTTGTAGTAAGTTTAGTTGTTCTTCATAATGGTAAGCCTAAAGGATAATCATTAAGTTATTGAAAAATAAAATTTTTTTCAGTTAAAGTATTATTAAAAAGTTATGTTTTATTATATCAGTATTTCAGATTTTCTGCTTCTATATAAACTGAACTATATTTTATTAAATTATTTAACAGTTTATAATATTTAATATAATAGTATTAATACAATGCAAATTGCTTATTTTTCTCTATAGTTTTTGATTAACTTAAAATATAACAAAGGTAGGCATTTATTCAAGAAGAGCTTTTATTTTTTCTGAATATTTTAATGATATTTAACAGTATATTCTAGAATTGCTTAATATTACACTATTTTATGTTTTAAATATGATTATCATAAAATGTAATTTGTTACTTATAAACTCAGCATATTCTATCTGATAGACAATACCCAGGCAACCTTTTGTGTTCAACCTTTCAATTTACTGAGAGCACGAGGTTATTCTTGTAATATTTCTTCCTCCGGCAGGTGGCACTATTTAACTTCAAGTATGAACTGTATAACTAGTGGTACTGTAATTTATCTTTGAAAGGGGACACTACTAATTATTACGCTCTGTCAGTACACAGAACTAGGATTGTCCCAGCTTGGCCAATCACTGTTTGTAAACAGACTATCCAATTTATGTATATTCATTAATAAATATAAAGATCCATATCTGTTGGACAATGAATGTAGGGACTGAAAGATAAATAAGACATGTCCTGACTCTAAAGAAGCTTAAGGATTCAAAAAGCAATAGTGCACTGTAAAATCCATAATTGAAACATATTTAGTATGTTTTCTCTATATGCTGTTCATACTTATATACAAAATCATGTGCAATATGTAAAGAAAATATTGCAAATTAGTGCTATTTGATATCTTATTAAATAGCAGTAATTTATCTTCAAAGTAAACTTATGGAAAGCAGAGATCCGATTATGTTTTCGTAGTTATTTATAACTACCAATTGTATTATTGTTCTTAATAATAGAAGGTACAATGTATTTGTTCTCATTTGTTCAGATACTGGGTATTGTCCATTTACTATATACAATTAAGACAAACAAATGTCTTCATTGGTTTGAAATTAAAATTAATGAATTAAACTTAATTTTGTTTGAGTTTAAAACAAATGGTGTTTTCTTTTCTTTGAAGGTTCTCAGAGCACATTTACTGCCATTGACTAATGTTGGCCTTAATAAATCGGGTTCTTGGTAAGGTTCTCTATTTATTTAAAAATATTTTTGTACTGAATTTTACTTTTTTGAGCCATTCTAGGTTCACAGCAAAATTTAGCAAACTGAACAGAAGATACAGAGATTTCCCATATACCCCTTGTCCCCACATACCCACAGCCTCCCCGCCACTGTCAACATCCTTGAAGAGTCATACGTTTGTTACAATCATGAACCTACATTAACACATCATTATCACTGAAAGGGCATAGTTTGCATGATGGCTCACTCTTGGTTTCATATGTCCTAGGGGTTGACAAATGTATAATGACAAGTATCCACTATAGTGTCATACAAAGTAGTTTCACTGCCCTAAGAATCCTCTGTGCTCTGCCTATTTATGTCTGTTTCTATTTCTATTTCTATTTCTATTTCTATTTCTGTTTCTGTTTCTGTTTCTGTTTCTGTTTCTGTTTCTTTTTCTGTTTCTGTTTCTATTTCTATTTCTATTTCTATTCCTGTTTCTGTCTCTGTTTCTGTTTCTATTTCTATTCCTGTTCCTATTTCTACTCATTACTTCTAATTTGTAACAATCAAGGGATGTAAATTTCCTTTTTTAGATAAAAGTTGTTTATATTTAATGTGCACACCATCATGATTTGATATACATAGTGAAATGATTGCTACAAACTAATTAACATATCACCTCCTCACAGTTACCATTTTTTCTGAAATCTATTCTTCTAGCATATTTCCAGTATTTGGTGTAGTATTATTAACTATTATTATAGTCATCATGCTGTACATTGGATCTATAGAGTTGTTCATCCCATGTAACGGCAAGCTTGTACCCTGTGACCATCTCCCCCCAGCCTCTGGCAACTGCTGGCCTGCCTACTCTCTGCTTCTATGAGTTGGACATTTTTTTTTAGATTCCACATATAAGTGAGATCGTAAAGTGTTTGTCCTGTGTCTGGCTTATTCCACTTAGCATGATGTCCTCCATGTTCATCTGAGTTGTTGTAAATGACAGGATTTCCGTCTTTCTCATGGCTGGATAACATTCCATTGTGCACATGCACACACACCACATTTTCCTTCTTCTTTCATCCCTTGATGGATACTTTCATCGTTTCCATGTTTCGGCTATTGTGAACATGGGAGTGCAGAAATTTCTATGAAATCCTCATTTCATTTCCTTGGAAATATACCCAGAAGTAGGGGAGCTGGATCATATGGTAGTTAATTTTTAGTTTTCGGGAGGAACCACCGTATGTCTTCTGCAATAACTGTACTGATTTATATTCCTGAAGAAGCTAGGAGAAAATGCCTAGAGGAGAATCAAGGATACACTACCTTGCCAACCTTCCTATTTGGTTGAGCTTAAATATCAGAATTTGTTTTCACTTATTATTATTGCCACTTGACATTCAGCACACATATCAATTTTGTGTATTTTTTTTTCTGTGTTGAGGAAATATCTTGCCTAATGGAATATTTAAGGAATAACCAAGATGCTATTAGTTTACTTTAAAATATTAGAGCTCAATATGCTAAATATATTCCTGCAGTAGAATAGTCATGTTAAAGGGTTTCTAAATTTTAAACCCTTATTGAACATTTATTATTAGTGTACCAGTCATGTTCCAGGTCCTGGCAATGATGGTGGTAAACCAGGTGGGTAGAAAGACTAGCACGTATAACACAGACAATCCAGTTCTTGAGTGACTAGCAAAAAGGTGAGTGTGACCGCTGTGGGTGTGCTTTGGGAGAAGCTGCATTCCCAGAGAGAGCCAGACCTGCTGGCCTTGGACCATGAGCAGAAGTTCCATGTAAGGAAGGCCGATAAGTAACTGCAATTTCAGTGAGGAAAATGGATTTGTAAGGGCCGCATGTGAGCCAAGACCCATGAGATGATGGTTTCATTTGTTTAGGCAAGACACGGAGGCTATGGACCTGGTGAGAAGTGGCTACAGTTGGGATGTGTTTTGAGACTGGGCTGACAGAATTTACTAATAGACTCTGCATGGAATGTGAGGGGAAGAGAGGAATCAGATGATGCTAAAATTTTAAGGTCTGACCAACTGGAAGAATGGTGCTATTCATTGAGATCTAGTAGAGTTTCAGAAAATGTTACTGATTATTAACATGTAATTGATTATTAACATTAATTGCATAATTATTTATAAGATTAATTATTATTTATAAGATTAATTAAAGAAAATTATTTCTTATAAATAAATGCATAATTATTTATAAGAAAAATTGTTGACAGGGTTACTATTTATTTTATTTAATGACTTCCCTTTGGGTTTGGGATAAAAGTGGAATATCTGTGAGTCAAAGGATTTAGATATTGCTCACAATTTAAATGTTTGTTTTTCATACACAACTTCCATTGTGCAAAACAAGATAAATGGGGTTACAATCTTGCGGGTGAAAGCGAGGTCATTATTAACACGCTGATGTTCTCACCTTGTGATTTATTTATATTCCCTTTGTTAGCTTTATCACAGGAAGCTATGACCGGACATGCAAACTCTGGGATAGTGCATCTGGAGAGGAGCTTCTCACCCTGGAGGGCCACAGGAATGTGGTCTATGCCATAGCGTTCAACAATCCTTATGGGTAAAAAAGACAGTCACCATTCACTTATTACTTCTTAGTCCACCAATTCATTTATTCATCTCTCCCTAAACCTACTGGGGGAAGAAAGGGAGAAGACAGAGAACTAAAATTGATTGAATGCCTAATGTATGCTTTGAAAGTCCTTTAAATACTTCCTTCAATGCTTGAAGGAGCCTTTGGGTAGGTATTACTGTCCTCATATAAAGTATTTAAAGTTCAAATACCTTCCCAGGATCACACAGTAGTAGAGCGGAGAGGAAAGTTCAAGCTCAGTGCGCTGACCCTCTGCTTTTGCGAGGTCTCTGGCAGGGATTCTCTGTGATGTTCACAGCTCTGACTGACGCTTCTGAGGAGTGTGGCATACACACGTCACACGTTTGCTTTGTTTAGAAGGTAATTTACACTTTTTCCAGGTAGGAAAAAAAGTGTAAAGTAATGTGCTAAATAACAGTACAAAATGCAATAGATGCATTTTTAAACCAACTTCTAAGAGATTTAGTAGATTAATCAACGTTCTCTATCCTTCTGCACAACATACAGCTGCCGTCCCCGGCGGCCTGAACACTTCCAGCAACCAGGCTACCACTAGTGCGCTCAACTTCTCCCCCACTGGTTAGGTTCTGACCTTACCAAGAGTTAGTTGCATTGGTCATAAACCTAGTCATGTTGGTTGGGCTTTCAGTTATAATTATGTAATTTAATTGAATGCAGCTTTATACTAAAGAGAGATGAGTGTGAAAATAAAGCTGTTGTTTTCTATAAAACATAGATAAAGTAATTAAAAATTTTACTAAGTGAAGTTGTAGATGAGATATAGAAAGTAGAAAACACATTGTAAAAATTTAGAAAAAGTCTGTACTTCTGTGCAGACTATAGATTGTATTTCATTTAAGTTCTCATGCCATTTTAAAGAAAATAGTGGAAGTTGTAGAAGTTGGATCTGATTTCTGTAAGACAGATAACAGACTCCAATTAGCTGACACATAGCCAAAGAAAAGGCCTTGGCCTCCTGTCAAAAGATTGGCAAATGAATATATATTTGTATGTATTTGAATAAAAATTTTAAACATTTGTACCTTTTTCATGATTGCCTGTTTTAACTGACTTTTTCCATTAACCAAGCTAGTTCAATAAATATAGTTCTTTTACTACGATATTATGATAACTAGAACAAAACAGTAAATGGTTTAAAAGTTAAGAAGAAAAAGATCATTGTGATCTCTTCTGGAAAGTCTGTAAGGGTTATAGGAGAAGCAGGAAAATGAGAGATGGGAGATAGAGCAGAGGCCAGGACACCCTGGGCGAGAGGATGTTAGCAGCTCAGGATTTGGGGAGGGACTTTGTCCTGGGACCTCAGAGGCCCCAGTCTCTCTAGTGAATATTTCATGTTAAGAAACAGAAACGGGTGAGGTCAAAGCGTTCTGTGTAGCTGGAACTCTGTTCTAGAGGACTGAGTTGTGCGGAGAGGTGTGTGGACAAAGGAGTGACACGCTATGGCGCTGTTTCGAAAGGACTGCCCTGGCAGATGGAAGGGGTCAGAGGGTTTGGACTGGGAAAAAACAGGAGACAGGGAGATTACTTTAGAGGCAGGTAAAATAATAAATTCATGAGATGATGAAATAGGGGCAGATGCAATGGAAGGAATTTTATAAAAATTCAGTGAACTTAGAGTAGATATACCACTGATTTAAAAAACTTCATTCCTAATTTGCTAATGTCATTATGTCTTTTGAGAATATAGGATACTTTAAAAACACATCAATCATGATGGCTCAATTATACTTTATTGGTACTTTAAAATGAATAAATATTCCAATTAAATCACAGAAAATTTAACTTTCATGTATTCATTTTTACATTGTAAAGTATAAAAAATTTTATAATACGTTATTGCACCAACTTGGGAGAGAAAGATTTTATTGAAATTATAAATTATATTGTTTTACTTCCAGTACAATTCCTACTTGAATCGCAATGATATTTAAAGGATTTTCTAAGTATAGTCTCCATAATACCATATCCTTTCATAGTCTGCTTAACACACATGGCAATTTTGGATGTCTGTCTGAGAACAAAGATTTTGAGGGATGGAACACCTTACCTTGTGGCCTTTCTGTTGGATTCTACTAAGAGCTCCTGACGGAAACTCACTTGTCCACCTACATGGTCTGATGATGGATGTATGGGATAAAGAACAGTTTTTCATTGCACTTAGAGATGTTGGGGTTTTGGCAGAGTGCTTCAAGATGGCCACCAAAGAAGAGGAAATGTGTGTGTGTGTGTGTGTGTGTGTGTGTGTGTGTGTGTGTGTGTGAGAGAGAGAGAGAGAGAGAGAGAGAGAAAGAGAATGGAAACAAACTTCAAGTTTCATGTTTATGTGTAGTATACATTAGGTCAAGAGTAAGCCTTTGATTCAATAAAATAATTCTAAAAAATAATCGAAAACTATATCTTTTATAATGTGATGTCATTTGCACAAAGAGAACAGTATATGACACAAACAGAAACTGATCAAGAAACAATGGCAACTTGAGACTGATATGTTTGAGGGGCAGTGGGGATGGAGGGACAGAGCTGGGAGCTCACAAGGCTGCCAGCATATCTTGAGCAGAATAAACGGAAAGACATGAAAAACACGTCTGATGGGAAATGCCTTAGACTGGATGTCAAGGGAGAGAGGCAGTGCAGAGACTGGCTGGAATACCAGCCCTGCGCATGAGGGGGTTTGGGGTTGGGGGATGGGCATGCCCCAGTGCAAGCTAGAAACCCCAGAAACACTGTGTGGGTGCCGGAGAACAAAGGAGAGGTCGATGCAAGGCATTCGAGTTAGTGTAGACAAGTGTGAAATCTGCAGCTGTGCTGAACACTTAGAATTACTCTGGGATATGTGCTTTAGGTCTTAAGACTTCACATTTTTGAATAATGAGCTTGCACTGTAAATGACGACCCAACTGGGTGGACATTTTGATGCTTTGCTTTAACAGCACGTAGGGGTCTAGGTTTTAGTTTTTAGGAAAAAGGGAAGGATTTTAGCTCCATGACCAAAGGGTAAGCAGGCTGACCTGCTCTTCCTTGTTGGGTGTGGACAGTAGCTCCATGGTAAACACGGGGAAGCCTCCTGCCTGAAAGCGACTGAAGTCTTTATCATATTCCCTCTCTAACTCAAAGACCTTACAACTGGAGGAATACAAGTATTATTTTCCCAAGGAGAAACTCACTGTCTAAGTTCGTATGTTAATTGGTTTGGACCTTCTCATTTTTCTTTTTTTTGAACTCAGTGCTGTCCTTTTCAGTAGACCTCCTAACAGAATATGACCATGTTCATACAAATCGTATGGTACGTGATTAACTTCCATTTCTTAGTAGTTTTCTAAATTGATCTTTTACTATATTCATTGTGCTAATTTTAAAAACTATTGAAATCCTAAACATAAATTTATAGATTTAATGTAAAGTATTTAAAATTAAACATAAAAACTGATACTATTAAAAAATTAGACCCTTTGTTTTTTCCACTGGAACAAATAGAGGGTTGCTTATTGTTTTAAAAGTGAAACAAATATCTGAGCAGATAGGGATTCATGTATTAATATCACTTGCCTTAATTAAGTGTATCATATGCTACGGTTGAATTTATTCAAAGTTCCACTTTTTTTTTTTAAATCTTAGTGACAAAATTGCCACTGGGTCCTTCGATAAGACTTGTAAACTATGGAGTGTAGAAACTGGAAAATGTTACCATACCTTTAGGGGTCATAGAGCTGAAATAGTGAGTATATTTATTTTATTATGTTTTTTATGTTGCTGTTTTTCTTTAAGTTTTTCTTATTTAAAATAGACTTTAGAGCAGTTCTAAGTTCATAGTAGAACTGAGTGGAAGGTTCAGAAATTTCCTATAAACTCCCTGCCTCCAACACACAGCATGCTGCATTATCAACATCCCCTGCTTAACTGGTACATGTGTTAAAACTGATGAACTTACATTGACACATCATTGCTATTTCTTAGGATTCCATTATAAAAGTAGTGATTTTACCTTTATAATTAATTGTGTGATTCTAGCCAATATTTTTAGTCTATATGTATTTTCTATAGTGATGTTGATATGCTTTACAAACTATTCTAGTTTTACTATCTGCAGATGTTGTCAAAGAACCATATTCTGCATTGACTAAGAAAACATGTAATATGATAAAAATATGAGCCCAATATAAACCTGATTTTTTCTTTTTGACTGACCTGTTTTAAAAGGATTGACTTGATGAGGGTTGATGAAGGTCTTTAAAAAGCTTTTAAAATAACTTTTCTATATCTTACAGATATTTAGGCTGATTGTTTTCTGGATGTCATTAGAACAAATTCATACATAGTTTGATAGTCTAAACAGATTTTACTATTGGGAAGCCCTCACCTTTGGCTAATTCTATGTTATGTTTTGTAATACTTAGTGAAATAATTAGCATCCTGTGGAACAACTGATAGCTTTTAAAAATAGACATTTATTTTAGGATTAAAATTTATTTATAGTCATTCTTCCAGTTCATGGTTTATTCATCCAGAAGCTCACACTTTGTTCAAGGCGCTTTTCTAGACACTGCGGGAGACTGTAACTGGCCCTTCAGTGGCACTCAGTGTACACAAAGAACTGTCCTGAACAATGTCCTATATGTTCCTTTACATAAATTAGCTTAGTTGCACTCATGACAACCCTAAGAAGCAGGCATCTCCCCATTTTACAGCTAAGGATGCTGAGGCATAGAGCACTTAAGTAACTTGCCCAAAGTCATAAGGAAGACATAATCCTCGTTCCCATAGTGTGGCTGGGTTTCCATACTCCCCTGGAATTTTGAAAAGGTTTTCTTTATATATAGTTCCCAAGAAGACATTCATATTTTTCACTCAACAGTATCAATGCAATTAATATTTACTAGATATTTGTTGTGCATCAAGCCCTGGCCTATGTGCTTGGGTTACTGAATAAAATCAGACACAGTTCTTGCCTTTCCGGATTTTGCAGTTTAGTAGAGGGAAGGAGGAGAGGCACCAGTGAATAAGTTCAATTTTGTGTTGTAGGAGTGCTAGCAGTTGGTGGGCAGTTCAGTGAGGTCACAGACAGGAGCGGTCAAGTCTCCTTGGCAGGGAAGGTGTTCAGGAAAGACACTGCAGAAAGATGGCATGTGCACTGAAGGCAGAGGGAGCAGCCCTGGCAAATGCCCAGAGGTGGTGTGCCGCAGAGCTGGGTGCTTGAGAACATAGGTGGCTCTGTGTAGCCAGAGCAGCACTTCTCAGGCTCCCCCTGCGATGCCATGCACAGGATATGCTAATGATATGCAGTGCACTGGGGGGGAGCTGAAAGCTGTCCATGGTTGGAGGTGGTGGGCAAGGATACCTGGAGCTGCCCAGCTGCCTGGGTTAAAGGTGCACCTGTAACCCACTCAAAGCTAGAGTGTGTGTGATTGAAGTGGGAGAATCAGGCAAGGCTATTATTGATTTATAGAGGGTCCCATATGCTATGCTAGGGAATTTGGATGTCATCCTGTAGATAATGCTGGACTGTTGAGACCTTTCAGCTGGGAGATGGCATGGTGAGGAAGTTCCTACCTGAAGTTCTTGCAGAAGGTTATCTGCTGTGGAGGGATGAGGACAGAAATGGGGGCACGAGTAGGGGACGGGAGAATGGACTGAGCCAGAACAAATCAGGACCGGTGCTGAGGACAGAGGTATGAATGAGCAACACCAATGCTCTTCTATGCCATTTTCTTCAAGTTGCCTTGGCTGAGTGATGAGGTAGGGAGATCAGATGAATGGATAGATCCCAGCTTGATACAAGTAGTTAGGGGTTTTATGGAAGGTGCTGTTGAAAGCCAGGGACTGAATGTTGAGGCTGCTGGCAAGAGTGGTGCTTCCTGTAGGGTGAGTGGGGGTTTGATGGGCCAGGAGAAAAGGAAGGGGTCTCAGTGAGATGGAAGACATCCTGGGGCCAGAGCCTGATAAGGAATGGAAAAAACAGAAGTACTGGCGAAATTAACTAGAGATTGGTGTATTTGTTGTACGTCTTCCAGAGAAGGTGATGTCAGGGTCCAGGGTGTGGTCATGGGAGTGATTATGAGAACGACTCCAAGATGGTGGGTCTGGGGGTACTGTGGATGGATGACCCACGGGAGGGCCAGCTAGGACTTGGAACCCAGACTGTGAGCCAACAGGGGCTGTGACTGAAAGGACTGTGAAGACAGCAGCAAGGAAGACCGGAGCGCCAGTCAGCATGAATCTCAGAGGAGATGGGTTTTGCTCTTGTTCTTGTTCTTCTGAGTTCTGGAAGCGGCAGAGGAAGCCACTGCCCCTCCATGTGGGAGAACAAGCAGCCTCGAGACAAGAATGCTCCAGAGTTCAACCTGCAGACAGCAGGCCACTTATGTTTGGTATTTTACTGTATTTGTGCAAACAATTGGGCTGAATCTGCTAAGGTAGTTGCACTTTAAAGCTTTCCTATATAAAACTAACAATTTAAAGTTCTATCTTTCTAAAATCTCCTCCATTTGGTATAATTCAGGTGTGTTTATCATTCAATCCTCAAAGCACACTGGTGGCTACTGGAAGTATGGACACAACGGCCAAACTGTGGGACATCCAGAGGGGAGAGGAAGTGTGCACTTTAACAGTATGTTGATATTGTGAATAAATTCAGGAACTTTACATTTTCATCAGCCCTTCCATTGGATAAGACTGTTATTGGTGTCTGCTTTCATTTGCATTTTTCTTACAAAGTAAGTTAGAAGGTGTTTTTGAGCTGTTGGTTTTCAGACTGCCCTAAAGAGTGTCCCCCCGGTTTGCTGGGTATTCCAAAAGGCCCGGATAAAGTGCTGGGGAAGCCAGACGGACTTTCTGTCCTGACCAGCAGCAGTCTGTAAGCCAGGCTGACTATGGCTCAGTGCCCATCATTATCTGGTCGCTAAAAGTAGAGCAGATGGGGGCTGGCAATTTTGGGAAGGGGCAGAACTGGAGAACCTTGACTGAGGAGTCCTTAGAGGGACGACTGTTAACACTCTTCTCCTCTACCCTCTGGTCTTAGAAGCGCCTGTATTACAAAATCTGAAGTGACAAGGGGCAAGGCACAGGAGGTGAAAAGCCAAATGGCACTGCCCACAGAGTAAAAGCTGGGGATGTATGTCCGCAGATGTCACCCCCACATGCCCAGCACCCTCCTAGGACCTGCCACCCGCTGCTGCTTCCTGCTCCTGCCCAAACGACTAAGCAAAAATAAGATGATTCTCTGTGCGAATGGCTGGGTGGGAAATCCAGTTTTTTCATCCTTTCAAATTATAAATTGATTTAAAAAATAGAACTCCTTTCCTAGAAGAGCTTTTTCTAAGAGAATTTAAAAATGGACTAAAAGGCAAAAGCAGTGTTTTTAACTAACACAAAAGCTATTCTCTCTTAAATCGGAATGCTTAGCTTTACGCATGTAAGTGCGCTCTTTCCGATCTTTATTCTCATTTCTGTGGGGCATCGCCTCCTCACTACCGCTTCTTTCAGACAAGTGCCCAAGAGCACCTGCAGGGATGTGTCTTGCCCTGCACACCCATGCCTATCTGCTACCAGAAAATACATTTGTTCTATGTGTTCAGAATTTTAATATTCAGCTATATTTAATTTTTGCTGTTTGGAATCAGCCAGCAACTTAATTTGTAAATGAATTTTTTCATTATCTGAAAAGTAATTCCGTTAATTAATTTACGTAAGAAATTTGGAGAGCGAGGGCTACAGTGCAAGCAGAGTCTGCTGTAGAGAGGGGCATCTTCCCTTGTCTCATACCCCAGACTGTAACCAGGTGAAAGGCAGGCCAAAGTCAGATTAATCTAGATCATGTTAAATTATCATAAGAATTTCCTTCTTTAGAAGTCATTAACTTTATTTCACAAGGCTTTTTCTTTTGCCCCTCCCCTATCATTAGCCCCTAAAGCATACAGCCCTTTTCGGTGTTTGTAAGACAATGTGAAAGGAGCTGATTTCCCATAACATTCCCTCTTCCTTTAAAAAAAAAACCAGCTTCCTTGAGTTAAAGTTGACTTTAGTGTGTAAATCAATTTTTAGTAAGCTTACAGAATTGGGCAACCATCAGCAAAAATCTAGTTTTAGAACATTTCCATCCCGCCCAGTTGCAGTCTTTCCCTATTCCCACCCAGGCCAACCACGAATCTCTGCTGCCTATAGAGCTTTGCCTTTTCCAGCATTTTATTTTAGACTATGATACTGTACAGATTGTTTTATCTGCAGGCCTACATGACAACATCTGCTCCTTTCTAGGGACATTCAGCGGAAATCATCTCCTTGTCCTTTAACACCTCAGGAAACAGAATCATCACAGGGTCTTTTGATCACACAGTTGGAGTCTGGGATCCTGGTACTGGAAGGTAGTCTTCATTTTTAAGACTTTTTTAACCTGGATCAGAGGGTTAAGAAGACAATCTTTGTTATTAATTAGTTTAATCTTGCATCTGTTAACTATGCTTTGGATTCCATTGGATATTGGACACATTGAAAACAAATTAATTTATTCTTTAGTGAGATTTCTGGGCCACAAAAAAGTATGTGCTTCCTTGGAACTCTGAGCAAATAATGCCAAACAGCAACATAAAAGGAAAATGTTAGCAACAGCCTGGCTATATAGCTATTATTTATTCCATGTGCAATGTAATCAGATTTCAAGGGCTTGTCATTATGGTAGGCATGGGTATCATGAATAAATAAAATCACGCCTAATTTCCCAAATGTAATTTAGTCCGAGAACTTCAATTTCCTTCCTAATTATTTTTGGTTCCAGTTGCTAAGAAGTTAACTAAATCAGTCTAATTGTGTTGTACAACTCCACTCTTAAATTTGTTTGCATTTTGATAGAGGGGCCAATTATTAGGGTTCCGATCAAGAGATGGATGTGACAAGAACAGAGACAAGGAAGAGCCCTTCAGACACTTGTTGGGGACTTCCTGAACTGCCAGGGGATCCACTCATCCGGCGGCAGCATACGTCCAGAATTTCAGACTACCTCTGTTACTTTTCACCCATGCCTTTCAGGAGTCTGATTTTAAGTAATATTGTTACCCTTGATTGTTTGCAATTTAAGTAGATTCTTGCTGACACAAAAGTCTATTTTAGTTGACTCTTTTTGTCATTTTGTAAAAACTAAAATTTAGACTCTTACTTTGATGGACTCGACATCATTATTTGTGCCCATATCCTGAAGTAAGGCATCTTTTACTAGTTTGAATCGCTTCATTTTGCAGGAAGGTGTACACCTTAATTGGGCATTGTGCTGAGATTAGCAGTGCCTTATTCAACTGGGATTGTTCTCTGATATTAACTGGGTCTATGGACAACACCTGCATGGTGAGCTCAAGAAACATCTTTGTTTCATAATTCTTGTGTCTGTACTTTTTACTGTGTCAGATGTTCATTGCAACACAAATTTCAAAGGTGCCGTAAAATTAAGATATTAACTTATAAATAGTAATTAGTAATTTTTAAATCTCAAGTTTCATATCTTCTCAAAGGAATTATGACACTGTAAAGCAGTTTTAATTAATCCAGTGTATTTTAAAAGGCACATTACTTTTGCTTATTTTCCCTTCTGTTCGCTTATTAAACTCTGATATGAGTGAAGCTCAAGGAGATTCAACACAATATCTCCCTGCTTTTAAGCTCTTAGCTCCATTACTAAGAGCTTATATTCTGCATTGTTATTTGATTATATGTTAAATGCATTATAATCTTACTGTAATTTTCATTTTCAAGCATTGTAATTTAGGTCAAGCTTCATGTGAATAGAATGAATGACTCAGTGAAGCATACACTTTCAGATTTTCTTCCTAATGTCATGGCAGATTTGCACTACCCATTCTGAATGTCTGTCTTGGTCTTCTCTTTGTCCAAAGTGTGCCTGGTTAGATAGTGGGCTGTGGTCACGAATCAAGGTAAAAATAGCAGGAGATGAAAAATTATACACAAGATTTGACACAGTTATTTAACCAGTCATAAACATGCCATATAGATTAATTCTGGCCATCCTCATACTTTAGACAGGAGGTCATAGTTTCCTTTTTAAAATTGCAGCTGTGGGATGCCTCAAGTGGAAAAAGTGTGGCAACATTAACAGGCCATGATGATGAAATACTAGACTGCTGTTTTGATTATGCTGGAAAGCTTATTGCAACTGCTTCAGCAGATGGTCAGTAATCTATTCATACATTTATTTATGGGATTTATGATTTGTTTGATAAACACTTAGGATTCTACACTTTAGGGCTCTTCCCTGATGACCAGCTGTGACAGAAACTGTATCAGTCTCATCTCTGAGATGCCCATGTGTGTCACTATGTTATGCCTGTATCATATTCTCGATAACCTCATGTGATGCTATGCATGTCTGTGTCACTTCCTGACAGCCATGTATAATGTGATACCAGTTCTTCATCATCTCCTTGATGACTGTGTATAATGGTATATTCTGGATCACCTCCCTAGTGATCATACATTATGCTGCACTATATTGACCTCATCAACTTGACCACCATCACTGACGCTAAAATAAATTTGCATTATCTCCTTTATAACCACATGTGCTGGTCCACTACGTCTAACAGATCTTCATGATGAATATATATGATGCTATGCTATACACCGTCTTCTTGATTACCACCTGTGTCCCCATACTTTGTCCGCATCATCTTGCTGTTAATCATGGGCTGGTGCTGCACTGTGTGTGCCTCAAGTCCACGATGGCCACATATGATGCTGCAATACCTCTGTGCTATCTCCCTGTTGACCACATACGTCATTATACTGTGTGTGTCTCATCCACCCAGGACCCATGCTACATTGTGTCACCTCATCTCCTTGAAAGGGCTGTATCTTGTTGTACTATGTTTTCATCCACTCCACATCCAAACCATGTTCAATGTGTAATATTTCTACCTCTTCTCCTTGATGAACATGTCTGCAGGGTCTGCTATGTCTGTATCACCCCTTTTATAAAAGTATATGATTCTACATTACGTCTGGATCATCTCTTTGAAAACTGCTTATGACACTCTACTTGGTTATGTCGTCTCCTTGAGTCTACGTATGATGCTCTATGATGTGTCGTCTCCATGGCAGGCATGTATGCTGTATGTCTGTTGGTAATTTGATAACCATTGTGCTCTATCTGCTTCATATCTTTGATAGCTATTTATGATGACACTACTGTATCTATTCATTTCTTTGGTGAGAACATATCACTCCCCATCTCTTGCTCACCAAGTAAGACACCGCGCTATGTACGCTTCATCTTCCCGGTGGCCGCGCGTGCTAATGCACTATACTCGCATCATTTCCTTAAAAACCATGTAGATGTTACACTCTTTCTGCATCGTCTCCTTGATCGCCATGTAAAATTGATATGTACTATGTCAGCTTAATGTCTTTGTCCCTCTAATGACTGTATGATGCTGTATTATATCTATATATTACACCTGACTGCTATTTTTAACTTAGAATCTTTGTCACCCCCTTTAAAATCATGTACAATGCTACACTCTGTCTTCATTTATGACAGTGTCTGATACTCTTCTGTGTCTGCGTCATTTCCTAGAAATCCACGTGTGATACTGTAATATTTCTACCTCTTTTCCTTGATGAACATGTCTGCAGGGTCTGCTATGTCTGCATCACCCCTTTTATAAAAGTATATGATTCTACATTACGTCTGGATCATCTCTTTGAAAACTGCTTATGACACTCTACTTGGTTATGTCGTCTCCTTGAGTCTCTGTATGATGCTCTATGATGTGTCATCTCCATGGCAGGCATGTATGCTGTATGTCTGTGTCAGTAATTTGATAACCATGTGTGGTGCTAAAATGTGTCACCTCACCAACCTCCACTTAGGATGCTATACTGTGACTGCACCATCTCCCTGACAATCTTACATGATGCTAAACTGTGTCTGTGTCATATCCCAATAACTGTGCCATCTCCCTGACAATTAAGAAAGATACCATGCTATTTCTGTGTCCGCTCCTTAAAGACATGTATGATGCTATACTATGCCTGTATCATGTTCTTCATGATAACATGTGAAGCTCTGTTATGTCTGCATCATTTTCTTGATAGTCGCATATGATTCTATACTGTGAGAGTTTCCCTATTGACCATGTATGATGCTACATCCATCATTTCCTAGACAACCATGCTGTATAATGAAAAGCTCCTGGACAAGTACGCATGATGCTATACTAGTACTGCATTCTCTTTTTAACAACCTTGTAAGATGCTATAGTATGTGGTTAAACTATTTCTGCATCATGTCCATGATAACCATGTGTGATACTCTGCTGTGTGTCACTAGGAAAACAGGGTATGATGATACACCATTTCTGTGTTATTTTCCTATTTATCATTTTGCAATATGTCTGCCTCATATTCTTATTAAGCACCTATGACATTATAATAGGTCTGTGACAAATCTATGGTATCCTCATTCAACACAAAATGATGTCTACATCATCACTCTGATGACCACATATGACAGTACACTGTCATCTCCTTGATAACCTATGACACCAAACTGTATCTGTACCATCTCCCTGACAAACAAATGACACTACACTATTTCTGGGTCATCTCCTTGACAACCATGTATGAAGCTATACTGTGCCTCATCATGCCTTTGACAATGGATGAAAACACACCATGTTTGCACAAGTGTTTTAGTAATCATGTATGTTATATGTGGGTGATCTCCCTGACAACTATGTATGATACTGCAAGATATTGTGTCATCTTGTCAATTACATGTGATGCTACACTATGTCTGTGACAAGTGTTTGGGATGCCATAGTGTAACTACATCATCTCTTTGATAACTGTATTAGTTTTCCAGGGCTGACACAAAGTAACACAGGCTGGGTGGCTTAAACAACAGAAATTTATTTTCTCACAATTCTGAAGGCTAGATGTCTGATCATCTCTTTGACAACAGTGTATGATTATAAACTATGTATGCATCATTTTCTTAATAATAGCAAGTGAAACTACACTATGTCTACATCATTTTTAACAATTACGTATGATGCTATGCTAACCTCACGGTGTCATCACCCCGACAGCCATATGAGATGCAACACTGCATATGGAAAATCTGCTTGACAAGCACATGTGACAAGCATATTATGACTGTGTTATCTCTTTGATAACTGTATGATCTTTCAGCTAAGGTTTTTCTCTATGCTAACCCACCTTATGAATGTCCACATGCACGTCATCTCCTTGAAAACTAAGTGTGATGCTATCCTATGTCTACATATCCTCTTTGGCAGCCCTGTGGAGGGCTAGACTATTCTGAGTCATCTCCTAGACAGCTGTGTGTGATGATCTAGTGTGTGTCACATCCATCATGGCCATGTATGATGCTACAATATGTCTTTGTCATCTGTTGATGATCCCATATGTTGCTACATTGTGTATGTGACATTTCTGTAGTCTGCAGATGGCTTTACACCATGTCTCCATTATCTGCATGATGGCATGTCTGATGCTAAACTATGTCTTTTCATCTCCACAACAGCCACGTATCATGCTACACTATGACAACATTAGCTCCTTGATATCTTCACACAATCCTCACCAAGTCTGCATCAACATTCTGACTCCACATGTGATCCCACATTACATCCGAGTCATCTTACTGATGATCATGTATGTTGCTACACTATGTCTGTTTCATCTCCTGGATTCTAAACCATGTCCATGTCATCTTCTTATCAACAGTGTATGACACTACAATATGTCTATGTCATCTCCCTGATGACCACATTTGACCCTAAACTATACACCATTTCCCTCATGACCACACATGACACCCCTTATGTCTACATCATCTCCTTGATGACCACATATGACACTAATCTGTCGCCCCCTGTGTATGCATATCATGATACATTATAACTGTGTTATTGCCCTGACAGCATGCATAAGTGACACTATATCTAAGTCATCTCTCTCATTGACATGTATGATGCTATACATCTGTCTATTCCCTTAATGACCGTATGTGACTCTGCATCATGTCTGTGTAGAACTCCTTAAACAGCTATTTAAGAAATTCTGGCAAAAATGGAATACTTTCTCCAGGCATGACTGACTTTTTGTTTGCCTGTAATTGCTGCCTGTGACTAACATGCTTTTAAGTAGTCATATAGCCTTTGTGTTACAAGCAGTGGTAGAAGTTTGCCAGTGATTCATTTATTATAGTCTTTATTTCATAGTTGAGTTGCCTTTCAAAATTAATTTCGTGTTTGTTCTCCTATTTTCTAGGACTTTTCAAAAGTAGCCCTTTGATTGTACATACACATTCTTTTTGTATCCTGGAATACTAACATCCTGAATCTAGAGAATTTTATTTTTTTAAATAACTACTGACTTCTGCATGTTCGCACAGATCTTGGATTTTAAAAATCATCTTTTAACTGCAATCCATCTGCCCTTCCATTTTAAATATAATTCTCATTTAGGCACAAAAAAATCCATTTAGCAAATATGTATGGCATACTTACTTTGTGCTCAGAATTGCTTTAGAAAGAGGGCATATATCAGTGAACAAAAGAGATAGAACTGCCTCCTCTCATGGAGCTATTCTGTTGAGGGAGAGATGATGAACAATACCACGCATGTGTTTTATATAGAATGTTCGATTGTATAGAATGTTTGATTATATAGAATGTCAGGAGTTGGTCAGTACAATGGCAGAAACAAGCAGGATTGGGGAATGCTGAGGGACGGGTGAGAATAAGACAAGTTCAGTTCTAGTTTCATTTTCTCTAGCATTTGTTATTTCCCTTAGTGACTCTATTCTTTCCTTGTTCAATAAGACATTAGTTAAAAAAATAACTTTCTTTAGATGTGTTTTGTAAACCTCAATCTGTGCCTCCTAAGAATTCTTGATGTTTTGAGCAATCTTTTTTATTTATCTCTGGTCTTTGCTCCTCATTCCCTTCTTGAAATTGGACCTCACTCAACAGAGTTAGTTACCTGTGCAGCTGAATCTGTTTGTTTAAATATGCCATCTTTTTCTTCCTCACTGGCATTACTCACAAGTGTGAATTTTATTTTTTGGTGCCTTACTAATATTTTTATCTCTTTTCAAAAAAAATCATGATTTTAGTCTGTATTATTTTCATGCTTTCTGAAGTGCTTTTGTAAAATCTAGAGTATTATTTTATGCAGGGTATTTTTATCTTTTCCTTTATTAACAAACTCTTAAAATAAGTTGATCACTTTCTTCTGATGTTTTTGAAATGTCCAGCTAAGTAGCAAGTTTTATATATTTAATCATATTATTCTAGAATAGCAATTTTTGTCTACTTCTTCCCGAAGTTGGCATTGTCAGAAAGATAAGCAAAAAATTTACTATGATATTTTACTTTTCTTTGAATGAAAATTGAATAACCAAAATTCCCTATTCTTGCTAATTTTACCTCTATGTTGTACTACAATTTGCAATCAGAAAGCATTCTTCACCTGGCCAGATAAATTGTAACTTTTTTCTGACAGCAATTTCACTACTGTTGTTTTTTCTCCTATGCTTATTTAACACCTCCATTCCTTAGTTCTAAGGGAATATATATATATTATTTCATCCATCCATCCATCCATCCATCCATCCATCCATCCATCCATCCATCGTACATCTATTTGCTGAGTGTCTCTATGAGCTCGACACTTCTGGGCACTGCAGATACAATAGGGAACAAACCATTCTATCCCCGTTTGCATTGAAAAGGGTTTCCTAGCACCTATTCTTTGTTGACTAGTGTTTGCTGTGCCCTCTCAAGAAGGCCTCTGGCACCTCTGTAAGCTTAGGCTCATACTTGCTGTATGATGTTGGTCTTGCTTATTTCATCCCCAGCCTCTCAAAACTTGTTTTGATTCCCCTTTTTCCCTTTCAAATCCTTTTCTTTCTGGATTCCTGCCCCGTCCCCCCACCACCGTCTGCCTTGGAAACTGGTATCTCTACCAAGAAACTTGGCGCTAGAGAGGCGCTTGCTCTTCCCGGCAGTGGGACCGGCTTATACTTACAGTAGTAAGTGGCTGGCTTTCACTGCCGGCAAGAAGACAATCTTAGTGCAAAGCTTGTGTGTCAGAGGGGTAGATGTTCAGATAATTCAAGGCATGCGGTTCAAAGTTCTGTATTTATGTATATTCTCGCTCCTCTCAAAAAGGAACAGCAAGAGTTTTCAGCGCAGCCACAAGAAAATGCATCGCCAAATTGGAAGGCCATGAAGGTGAAATTTCAAAGGTGAGTTGCTTTCTCATTTGGAGCAGTTTATTTACTTTCCCAAAATAGACAGTATGCTTAGCAGAAATAGGTCTATTGGCACTGAGGGAACTACATTTCTCCAATTATCTCTTTCTTTCTAGAAATCAGTTACCTAAAGACTTTATTTTTAAGTGTGTCCTTTAACTTAGCATAATAAATAATTTCTAAAACCTTTTCAAATGTGTAAAACAGCATTCTCCTCAGCCTCAGCAAAAGATTTAGTTAGCTGAAAATGCTTATTAAAGCTATTTAAGAAGCTTATGAGGTGCTTTTCCTGGTTCTAGTAGACATACAAGTTTATATTATGCACAATCCATGTGGTGCAGCAAGAATCAAGTGTTCTATAAATCAGATGCAATCGAAGAAGCTTTGCCTGGAAATATTTAACACTTGACAAAGTTTAATATGACCTATTTCAAAACTCTAAAGCTGTAATTTAGGATTTTTATATAAGCTCCTCCTAAAAGCTTATTCACAGAGCAGGGCCATCCAGTCAATGATTTAAGGTTTAGATGTATCCTCAGAAAATTTTAGAGAAGGCTGGCACTTGGTGACCCTCACCAACCTGCTCAGCCCAATTCCTGGGTCTCCTGCCTGAGGTCGGATTTGTTCCTTGCTTGTGAGAGATCGGCCTGTGGTTTTGTTAGAGGGGAGGGTGAGTTTGCTCTCCTAGGCTCTTGTCCCCGCCGCAACAAAGAAATGAAGGGCAGAGACCCAGCAGTGAGGCAGAGTATAAGCTTATTTGAATGCATTCCAGGAGAGGGGCGGGCCTGAGTCAAGATAAAGGCAGATTTGCTTTAATAAAGCAGACAGGAGGTAAAAATGGGGCCAGGGAAGCTCACTGAACTGCTGCTCAGCCTAAGGGCATAATCCTCTGCCAACACCTGAAGCCAGTGTCACCTGGTGTCCAGTGTCCGCCATGTGCACCACATGGGAACTGAGTCCCTCACCACCCTGGGATTTGGGGGAGCCACAGAGCAATGGATAGAGGGAGGTTATGTTCTGAAAACTTCCCAAAGGCAAATAAAAGAGACCTCCAGGCAGGCTGCTAAGGAGCGTGATCGTACAGCTACAGTCCTGCCCAGGTCACCCAGGAGACGGGAACTTGCAAGCCCCAGATCAGAGCTCTCAGAAGCCCCTCCTTACTTATCTGAAGTAGAACAGAGAGAGTGACACACTCAAGAAAGGTGAGCGTGGGCAACCTCAGAGAGGAGGCACGCTTAAGGGTTTGGGGTCTGGAGTTTTATAGAGCTGTTTTGGGCAAGGGTCAGCATAAGGCATGATGTACACCGGTGATTTTACAATTCATTTGGAGTTTTGTCCAAATAACCCTTGAGAATAGGGTTATTTAGGTGATTATGTTGGTTTGGGACTTCAGCATTCTTTGCCCACCTAGGTTTATTTACACTTTCCTGCCCTGGTTACAAAGTGACTTGATTAGGGGCTGAAGGAAGAGGAAATGACAGCATACATGTTAAGTGAAAGAATAAGCTGGGCCTTTCAGCAGGCTAAAGTAAATCTTACAATGGCATGATCTAATTGATACAGTGAAGACATGAGCTGTGCTCAGATACTTTTCTTTATCTGGGGAATATCGGGACATTCGAGTTATTCCTGGCCTTTGGAGCTTCAACTGATTAAGTCATTAACTTAATGAGTCTTTTCTGGCTCTCTAGTTTTATCTGGTTAACTCTTTGAGTCCCTTTTTAGTGGACTTTACTGGCCTATTCTCCATCCACCGGCTCATATGTATTTTTCTGCCTAGCTTTTTCTGGTCTCTGAAGTCTGTGCTGTCTTCCCTCCTGCCTCTGCACCTGATGCTGGTGGCCGATGCCCTCCTGCTCAGGAGGGTCTCTGAGGCTGTGCACAGCACATCCTCTTTATGGGAGGGGGGCTGGCAGGAAGGAGAATGGTGAGGTCTGGACGTGGGAGACAGGCCGAGGAGAGAGCCCAGGCCACATTTCTGAGCATTTGGCGTGCTGGCTACTGACAGGTGTGCTGTGTCCCATTCAATAAGTGCACATGTATGTATGTGTGTGAATATAAAAAGTTCTCAAACTCCCTATTATTGCATTTTATGCTTGTTAAGTGATATATTACTTAATGAATTGCCAACCTGTAATGGCATTTCTATGGGGTGCAAAGCTAAGGTATTCATTCATTCATTCATTCATTCATTCAACAAATGCTTTTGAAAGCTTCCACTGTGCTGGACATTGTACTAGATATGGGCAACACAGGGATTAGAAAAAGACATGGCCTTGGGCCTAGACCTCACTAAGCCTTACACACCATTGGATGATTCCTTGACACTTAGGAGGTGCTCAGAACACTCAGAACACATTTATGGAAAGTGCTACACTTTGAACAGCAATAAACAGAAAATCCTCTTGTAAATCCATAAGCTTTTGACCACAGAAAGTTGGGTTGCAGAGATGACATCAAGGTTTGGCTATGAAGGAGCTTGGCTGTGTTCTCATCCACACCAGGACTCCGTCTCTTTGCCTGCGGAAACCTGCATCATGAGTCTTTGGAGAGAAGCAGGGTGGGGAATACTTGAATTATAAGGGAGCCGGGCCTTTTGCTGAGAACTGTGAGAGTAAGCAATTAAACTTTTCTGTCCAGACTTAAATTTTCAAGAATTAGTCCCTGCCAAATTTTTCCCATCGTGATGAGACTGTTTTATATAAGAAAATATGCCAGGTTGGGAAGCTGAAAGGTGCTTAGTAATGTCCCTTTTTGCTGACTAAAAATACACTGGGAAGCAAATTACACATATTTCTTTCTCTTTTGTAGATTTCTTTCAACCCCCAGGGGAATCGTCTCCTAACTGGCAGTTCTGACAAAACAGCTAGAATCTGGGACGCTCAGACTGGTCAGTGCCTGCAGATTCTTCAGGGGCACAATGACGAAATCTTCTCTTGTGCTTTCAGCTATCAAGGCAACATGATCATTACAGGTATTGGAAAAAGAAACACCACAGCTCGTTTTTCCTTTTAAATCGGCTGTTAGAGTTCCTAGGCCAACGAGTTCCCCTACCCTCTTCTGGGGTCCTTGGCTCTTCTTGGCGCCTTCTATATCCGTTATTTAATTGTAGCTGCATCGAGGAACCACAGAACTGAGCTCTGCCGCTGACTGTAAGGCTTTGTGAAGTTTGAATGGTAGTCACTGTAGACTAAGTAGCAATTGGGTAGCCAGCCTTACTGGTTACTGTGTTTCCCTGGCATTGTCCATGGAATGGCTGGTACTCAGTTGATGTCAGTAAGTGTTAGTAACTAAAACAAGTCAGTACCCCGAGTTTCCCGCAGTTGGATTTAGCCCATTAGAGATTTATTCTGAGCTAAGTTGTTTTCTCTTCAGATGCCCCCTTGCTAGCACATTACTATTTGGGCAAGAGAACAAATATTGAGCATTTTTCAACCAGTAGCAATTTATTGTGATTCAATCATGTTAGCAACATTTAGCAGGAATTGGATTGAGGATAGGTTTAGATTGTGGAAAGGGAGGAAATGGCAAGAACATGGAATAATGTTAGTGCAGTGACTAACCTGGCAGGGAGTTGGGGCCACAGCGTAGGGAGACACCCTAACAGAGTGCAGAGGACTGGGTCAGCCCACTCTCAGTGATTCTCATTGTGCTGAGAAAATCTGAAAATTGCTTAACTGGCCTAATTAGTTAAATGTTGCATGCAAGTTTGGATTTACATATTGGCTGACTAAGTAGCTTGCTAGTCGTATTACTTCTGGAGTGCTGAGAAAAAGCTCCTTTTTGCCCTAAAATACCTCTCCTTTCTCCCTAATTATGGATAACTTCTAAAATTAGAGATTACTTTCTTTGTCCTTACAATTTGCAAGTGTTAATAAAATTAGTTACTCCTAAGACAGTGCCAAAATAAGTCATGTATTTTATTGTGAACACAAAGTAAAATCCTTTCCCGTGACAAGGAAATGGGTGGGACCAGCAATAGAGGCCCTGGGGTCTCCTTCAGGGAGCTCCTGCCAAGGAGCAAGAAGGTCGCCAGGGCTGTTTGTCAGAGTCCAGCCTTTCCTGGCTCTGCAGTGCCTCCTCCCTCACCAGGAGCGACTCTGGGGAGTCTAGGGAAGGGATATTGACTGGCCTTATTTTAATGCTGACGCTTGAATTCCTGAGCTCTTTTAAGATATCATGGATTTATTTAGTGTATCCAAAGCTCCAAATTGCTAACCACTGGCCCACGAGCTTCTTAGACTGGGGACACCTCTGTCCTGCCATCAGCAGAACAGTCACTTTGGTTGAATTGCTCTGTCCTATTTTCTCCGTGGACCCCCAGGGTGATTAACTGCATGCATTTCTCAAGGACTGCATGAGGTGGGGTTCAGAATCACAACTGGAATCAATAACTGGCCAGTGTGGTTATTACATTTTTTAAAATACAAGTTGCCTTTTGGTGGAATGTACATATTTCACAAGCTTCCCTGGTCCAAGGAGCCCCCACACTTCTTATGTTGATGTTAGGTGCCTGGTCCCTGAAGTTTAGAAAGCCAGCAATGGCCAGCACAGCTCCGCACAGGGTTGTCATTGTCAGAGATAGAATGTGACAGGTGCCCATTGGGTAGGCCACCTTGGAAAAGTGGCCATCATAGTAATGGGGAGGGTGGGGCATGCGAGTCTCACATTTTGACTTATGATAAGATGAATCTGCTAACATTTTGAAGTATTCCAAAGTGGAATGTTATGCTTCTTCAGAAGCCAGTTACCCAAACCCGGAGATATTCCAAGTCACTGTATTTCCACTAAAAATTGGTGGCGATTTTTAGGGCAACGCAGAGGGCATAAGCAAAGGAGGTGGGTGAAGTGGTCACACTCTCAGGTCCTCTCCAATTCTAAGAGGTCATGAACCTTGTTGGTGTGAGTAGGCATGACCTTGACCAATTTATGACTGACAGGAATCATGCAAAAAAGATTCCGACTCCCAAAATACCTGAGCTGTGCAAGGGCTCTGCAGCTGGGTGCTGAGAATATAGCACAGTTGGCACCCTGATAGTTTACAATGACCCAGAAAATGTCAGCTTGTAAAAAGAGAAAGTGCATAAAATAAAGAAAAAATAGTTTTGTGAAATTTGTTTTACTAGGCAGCAAGGATAATACCTGCAGGATATGGCGCTGACTGAAGAGAGCTGATGGGCAAGCAAACTTGCTGTGGTGAGCAAGAATCGGAACTTCACAGATAGTGAGCAAGCTATGTTCATATTTCCTCTTTTCCACAAGTCAACTATTTATACATTCTCTTTAGCCTCACAGATATTGTGACCATTAAAACTCAGGAAGTTACATCATCCTTGATATTATTTGAAGACGATAACAGGAAAGAGCATAATGTTTAGCAAATGTCACTAGCTATCCCCATTTTATTTCTCGTACAATCATGATACTGATGATGAAACCACAGTAATATAACAATGTGTCTCCTCAATTCCTCTTTGAAGACTATTAATTTAAAATCTGTTGAATAAAGTTTTTTGTGAATTCTATGTCTATTTTTGTGATGTGTGTTTTTTCTTGTGATAAGAACTTTTAAGATCTACTCTCCCAGCAACTTCCACATGTGCAATACAGTATTATTACCTACAGTCACTATGTTGTACATTACATCCCAGGACTGATTTAATTTATAAATGTAAGTTTGTACTTTTGCCTCCCTTCACCCATTTTGCCCACTCCCCACCCTCTACCTCTGCCACCCACCAATCTTCTTTGTATCTCTGAGTTTAGTAGGTTTTTTGTTTGTTCTTAGATTCCACATGTAAGTGAGATCATATGATGCTTGTCTTTATCTTTCTTACTTCATTTAGCATAAATATGGACCAGGTCTACCTATCTGGTAAAAAGGAATATAGATTCTGCCCCAGAAAAGTCTCCTCTCCACAGCTCTACTCATTCTGGTGAGTTCCCTGATCCCGATTAGATTAGATTAGATTAGATTAGATTAGATTAGATTATGGTTTAGATTAGATTAGATTAGATTAGATTAGATTAGATTAGATTATGGTTGGTCATTACTTGATTCATGGGAATCAGAACTTACTCTCTGCTACTTGGCAACTCCACCTGATATGTTGTTATTGTTATTGATTTGAAAATCAATATTTAGATTTCTCAAAAAGTCAAACTGAACTTACCATATGACCCAACAATTCCACTCATAGCCCAAAGAATTGAACACTGGTAGTTAAACATATGTACATGCATGTTTACAACACTCTTCACCACAGCTCATATGTCCACCAATGGGGGTGTGGATAAAAAAACTGTGATATATTCATACAATGGGATATTATTCAGCCACAAACATGAAGTACTGACACATTCTGTGACATGGGTGAATCTTGAACACATTATGCTAAATGAAAGAAGCCAGACACAAAAGTCACATATTGTGTGATTTTACTTATATGAAATATCTGGAATAGGTAAATCAATAGAGATAGAATGTAGACCAGGGATAGGAGGAAATGGGGAGCAAGTGCTTCATGGATGCAGCTTCCTTGTGGGGTGATGAGAGTGTTTTGGGGTTAGTGGTGGTGACTGCATAATAGTGTGAATATACTAAATGCTAATAAATTGTTCACTTGAAAATGGTTAATTTTTTTTTTTTTTTTTAGGAGAGCAAGGTACAGGCTTTTACTTAGAAATAAAGTGAGAGAATAGTGCTCCTGGCTCATGCCGGGAGGGGACAAGAGAGCCCCGAAAATGGTTAATTTTATGTTATGTGAATTTCATTCCAATAACAGAATACTGAATTTTCAATCCATTTTCATAATCTTTTGCAAGTGGTAAGTGATCAGTTTTCTTGGTCTTCACAGAATAATACACTTGGTGTTTGCCTTTTGGAGGCATATTATTTAAAGAGAAATCAAGCATCGACCTTACCGGGAAAATGACATAGCCATAAAGATGTTGGTTGTTAACTCTTTGGATATAGTAATAGTTGGATTAAATCTTTCACCAATTACTTACTGAGACACTATGCTAGAAGCTATGTTTACAAACAAGTTGATTAATTTTTTGATGGGAAAGCTGGCTATGAAAGTTTGGGAATTTCTTTTATTTTAGAACCGAGAGTATACTTTTGAGCGCGTCAGTTAATTTCTGATGCTTCTTGTAACTAATGCAATTGGCATCTTTGAAATAAAAAATAAAACCTGAACAATGAAATAATTAAATCATGATAGAAAAAAACATATTTTTATTATAGCATAAAATCTGGCCCAGGAAGGGAGGGTGCAATCGGCACTGAAAGTTTCTGAAATGACAAGACCTGGAAGCCCTCAAAAATTTTTCTCATAAAAATCAATGGTTTGATTCTTTTTGCCTTTGGCTTGGTTACATGAGAGCAGTCGATGTTTGGGAATGCTGCTTTTAGGATTTTCGTGCTCTTTTAGGGGTTGAGTTTCAAGTTGTATTACTTAGAACTTAAAAATGAGTTTATAACTGTTTACGGGCGTGTTGGAGATGGGAATCCCAGAAAAGTGTGTGGAAGCTGGAAATGCCGTGAGAATAAGGACTGTTACTTACTCTGCCTTTGGGGAAATGGTGGATGTATCTCTGTGAGCAAACGTGCTTTGCTGCTGTTCTCTTAGGGCTGTGAGACCCTAATCAAGAATGTGCCAATGTCAGATGTCCATGTATTCTACTGAGAAATTAAGAAGAAAACACTCTTTACTGTTCTCACTAAAGGTAAGTAGAAAATGTTGCTGTTTTCCAAGAAGTACAGAAGCTTGCATGCTTTTAATGTCTTACCTCAGCAGGTGGCAGTGTTTATCTTTTGGCAGAAAAGTTCTTGCTTCCTACAGCTACAAAAAGTGGGTACAAAGACTAAACTTTTTATTCTGTGTCCTTAAAAGTTAGGGTCATGTGGGAATACGTAACCACGCTGATTTGGGTATGACTTAAAGTATAGCAGCATCTTGGCATGTCTGGGATAAATGACATAACTCATTAATCCTGATGCAGTGTAGAGAAATTTTACCACCTATTTATTAGGACACAGGTTAGTGAGGTGAATAATAGACAGTTCTGTTTTTCTTTACGGATCCTTCTATTGGGAATCATGTTAGAATGATTTATTATAACAACACAACCTATCAAGAATCTAACATTCCATTATGCCTCTTAATAGTCATACTAGATTGGACTCTTTATGTTTTGATAAGTTTATGGTAATTTCAGTGTGTTGAAAGTCTAAGAATTGTGAGTACATTGAATTTTGCTATTTTAACATAACCATAAATCAAAAGGGTCCAGCCGATTGGTGTTGGTTATCAAAGACAAAATTAAGTCTGAGACTAAATTAACAAAGTCTGCTCATTTGTAGATGGTGGCAAGGGAAATTGCTGTCACCTTCATTTCAGCAAGAGTTCAAAGTTTCACAGGGGAGTGAGTTTCAGAAAGTGAAAAGATGAGATACTGGGATGGTCTTTGATTGACAAGTGTTCTGTTCAGGTGGGAGCTTTGGAAATGGGGGGACTCTCCAGTTGGTCTTCAAGTATATTTGGTGGCTCTTGGTTGGCTGCAAGTGGGCAAGCAAACAGTTTGGGGACTTTTCAAACAAACGATTGCTTATTGCTTTGGGTGGAGGGGCTTCTGCAGGGGCAGTTTCCTGGGACAAGTAGGGGGCAATTATGCTTTGTGGCCATCAAACTGTCATACTAATCCTTACTTGGTGGGGGGAGGGACTGCCAGACAGCCAGTTTCTCATGAGTGACAGTATTTTGGCGATTAAAATCATGGACTTAAGACTCAGCCTGTCTGTTTTAATCTCCTGCTCAATCACTTCTTGGACATGGGACCTTGCGAATTCAAACAGTTTGACTCAGTTTTTGCATCTATAAAATGGAATAGATAATAGTATGGGGGGAGTTTGTGAGGATCGAATAAGTTAATAGATAATAATGAGCCTAATGCATTGGTAGGGTAGTTAATACTATTTGTGGACACTGCATCAGCGGTTTGGATTTGAAGGATTTAACAGTTGAGAAAGAATTCACACACTCAAGGCAAATTTTTTCATTATTATAGTTAGGGGCATTCTTCCACTAGACAAAACAACTGTTCAATTCACCTTCTCCTAGGCAACTGATTGGAAAATAAATGCAGGGGGTAGTCTGAGCACTCACCTCTCGTGAGTTCTCGTGGATTCAGGCCTTTGGATAAAATTTTGGTTTGGCTTCGTAAACACGTAATATAGTCAGGGCTTTGAATCAGGCCAGGTTGTCAGCACATTTTCCCCTGTGCAAAGCTGTCAATTTCTAATTAAGGCCTCATCTGGCCTGCACAGACATGGAAATCTCTACTGAGAAGCAGCAAGATGCAAATTCCACCAATTAAGTGGAATTTCAAAATTGTTCTTGAAATCCTTGAAAAAGAAATCCTTGAGAAAGAAAATGAGGTATTTTTACTAGAAAAACTAGAATTTATTAAATGTTTCTTAAAAATATCTTACAGGTCGAAATATTCCCTAGGGTGTTCTGATGTACCTACTAAAATTTCAGGGATTCATACATATTGGGGGAGTTGACAAATGCCCCCCAAATGTAAATTGAGTACTGAGAGTGTCAGTCAAAGAAGCCAGTGCCCCTTCAGTAAGAGGAAGCGCAGACACGCTTCCCATCGGCCCCTCCAGTGGGCTGACCTTTCAAGTGTCAGGTGTGGGCTGATGCCAAATGTGCAACGACCCCTTGGAAATTTCTGTGGTTTAGTATTTTTCTTCATCTTATACACTTTGTTCTTTAAAAGTATTTCTACGATTCAAACACGTCTTTAATTATGGGAAAAGCAATTCAAGGGGGAATGCCTGAATTTCTGCTCAGTCGAGATGTGGTTTTTTTCCTGTCGCCTCAGCGGAGCAAGTGTTGCTGGAGGGATGGATGGTGCTGTGCATTGCTCCCCAGGTGACAGGAGACTTGTTTTCTCCTGTGCCTGAGGCAAAAGGACGCACACACTTCTTTTCTAGACCAGGAAAATCTCCATCAGGAAGTGGAATAGCAGTGTTACTAACTCTTGGATTATTACCGTGAAAAAACAATTAGTTTGAATCATATGAAATTGGCAGTTTTGACCTATAAAAAGTGATTTCATGTGGTTCACCCTGAAGGATTGCTGTATGTGTACAAGGTGAGGGATTTTCTGTTTAGGCTTGTCCTCAAGCAGATCCTTGGTGGTGACCCACAGCCCCTTACCACAGCCTGGTGTCCCCTTCCTGCAGAGGGTGGACGGCAGGTTTCAAACAAAGGCTGCTTATATCCTCACCTACAGGAGTGTGGGAGAGAAGACCCACTTAACGTGGTGTTTGGCAAAGAGCGTGGGCTTTGGAAAAAGACAATGTTCAGCTCATCATTCTGTTACTATGAACAGGTCATTTCACTTGAGTTTGTCTCCTCAGCTATAACATGGAAATATACTGAAAGACTGAAATGAAAAAA